TATCGGCATATTAATATATATCGGTTTGTGGTGACAGTGTGCATTCTCGTCACGCGCGCAGGAAGCACTATCGACCTTCAGATCGCACGCCACGGCCGCACTGTGCTGATGTATCTCATTGTTCGTCTGACTGTCATTACTCTGCCTTTTGTCATTTATCGTAATTTGTGTTTTTGCAGGACAATTTGCAACTAGATAAACATGTGTATATGTTTCGCAAATAAAAACACTACCTGGACAAGAGTTCTAAAGACTGTTGTTTTTAATGATCTCAATGAATCAGTAGATATACATTGCCTATTATTAAAAAAAATACATAATAATTTATTGCACGTGTATGCGTCAGATGACTGTCGGGTCAATTATTAAAAGCAACAATGCTGTAAGGTATCCACGTGACAAACCGCGATGCTGGTGGACAAAGGGCGTTGAGTTGAGAAAAAAAATCTTCTTCACGGAAAATGACAGTGCACACGCGAGAGGATCTCTTTTAATGTTTTGTCAATCGTCTCATAATTGTTACTAATTACTTATTCAATTACTTGCATGCGCGGATAGTAGAACAGGTTATTGTATCGAATTGAATATTTTAGTTATTTTATAGTGAAAAAAAAATATATATGGAAAAGTTGTGGTAATCGGCTGTTGGAGATATCGTCGGAAAATTCTAGGCATTTGAAAAAAAAATGTTATGCACATAACAAAATACAAATCTCTCAAATACATATATTGAAAAAGTTCCAAATGATATGTAAAATAAGTAATGTAAGAATAGTTTTAAATCTTTTAAGTAATTAGTATTCTAATAGTTAGACATGCAAAACGAGGTCTGAACCTATTTTACATAAATAATATTAAATAACAGTGTATTTGGAATAAAATTTTAAAGTAATTTATAATGTTCACGTGGATATTTAATGACTGATCATAAAAAGTTGAGCGACTTATGTTGTATGCGCAAAATATTGTTAATAAATTCTAAGTTAAACTGGATCATTGGAATGGTCCAATTATAACACGAATATTATAAAATCCACGAGCTCGCGTCGTAGAAATTACATCCACACGTTTAGTTTCTGCGTCTTAGCTCTTAACACGTGTAGCTTATACGCAACGCAACCCTTTAAATAAAGCGCATTTTCAACAATAATAATTTATGGAAACGTTATATTCATGCTTTGTTTGTTTGTTTCAAATCATTATGCATATTTAGGCATTAGAATTTCTGTGAGACACATGAATTCATCGCTATGAATCTAATTCACATTATAATTCAACGTGAATAGTAGTTTAAGGAAGTAGTTCGGCTGCACGTGTTGCTATGCTTCTTAAAGCATATCAGTGCTGTCTGAGACAGATGCAGACTTCCTGGAACGCTGTGTGTCATCTCATATATAACATTCCTTATACGGGAGACGAACAAAAATAGATATCAGGACGACGGCGTGTCGGTAATGACAAATGACTTAAGAATTGGGAGTGCCTTTCCATTGTTAACTAAAAATATCTACCACTTTTAATTCTTGGTGAAAATTAAGGTCGATATATTTTACTTTCTTATACCTATTTCTAATAACTTCTTGAACATTTTTAAACTATCGCCTTTCGTGTTTTGTCAGTATTTATAAAAATTATGAATGAAAAATACAAAATATGCAAATAAAATTAAGAATATAATAAAAAAGTAGTTTTAGCCCGCATGCCATAATAGTCTGTGTCGGTAATCATTCTACTATTATTTATGCACGTGTCTACTGTAACATAAATTGCATAACATGGAATAAACACAGAATATAAATCAATATCTCATATAATTTTACCTACATTGTACATATAACATGATTTAAAATATTCATTTTCTTTATTATTTTAAGTGTTCAACTCAATGTTTGCAAAAGGTGCTGTAAATATCACTGTATTTTTTCATTTACACAGCAACCGTAGGATATAATATTTTTTCTTTATTCACATGCATTTGCATAGCGTTGGCCGTGAAAAAACAATAAATATGTGAAGTGGGAAGGTGCGAGGAAACGCATGATTAACAAGACGTGATTCAACGCAACGCACTTCGCAAACAAAAGTAGGAGGGCTTTATCGGAAGTGACGATTATATATAACATTAACTTAAACATTTAGTTATAAACAAAATCAATAGATCTTTCATTCCATTGAAAGTGCATCCCAGTCTTAAGTTAAACCCTAAGTTTAAACGAATTAAAACGTAATAATAAAATTATAATTCATTATCATATTGTAACTTTCTAGTTTGAGAATTCTGTATTACAAACTCGTTTTGTAACAGTAAGATGGATGATGAGTAGTGATATTTGTATTGATATGAATATATGTACGTATGTAAAACTTAAATATCAAAATATTCATCTAAACCAAAATAAAAATGACTATATCATTACAATATAAAGTTATCAAGATATTCAAATTCCATCCTATGACGTATATAATCTAAGAATGCTGTGAAACCAGTTCTAAACTCAAATTGAAATTTGTTTATTTTGGTGTCTGTTTTGTGATTTAAAAAGAACATCCCATGTGATTTTCAATACAACTATTTAACATATCGTTTGCCCGTTGCTTGTCCTCAAACTTGGAATTTGCATAAGCTATGTTAAAGGCTTTTGTAAACAAGATTTGCCTTCTAAAACATTTGCATGTAAAGAAAAAGTTTAAACAAGCGACAACTTAACTTCACCTCGCATTATTTATATGTAGCTTTTTGTACTCTCATTCTGTTTAAAAATTGAAATGTTAAAGTTGCGTTGTAATTGAGAGAAAGTTAGCTTTAAATTAAGAAATTTCAATTTATTTAGCGATCCGATATTCTCAGCCTCCGACCGTTACGCAGGACACACTAACCTCGTAACATGAACCGAATTTTACTCCGCCTTGACATACACCTTTACAAAATCCATTGGTGTCAATAGGTTTTACGGTACTAATTATTATCCTTTTCGAAAACTCTTTCATTATTTTTTCATTTTTAAAACTCTTAGTTTTTGTTGTAACAAATAACTCGATCCTAATATTAAATGTTTGCAGTTTATTTCCGAGAATTAAATATTCTTACGTGTTTAGTAAGCAACTATATTATAAAAGTACATTACAAAAAAAAAATAATCTGTGTCCAAAGTTTGTGACTAAACTAATGAAGATCGGCATTAGGTGAAATGTTGACATCTGATAACGTTACAGTTATTTTTAATGTACTGTTACAAAATAAAATCTTGTCATACGTCCACCGACAGTTATTCAAGTTCAGTTTGGTACGAGTTGTATGAACAATGCAAGTGTCAACGCCCCTGCATCCAAAGACGCCCAAATACAAGTCACCAGCCATGGTTTTAATATGAGTCAGTGACATAGCTCAAAAGATATCAACTTTCGTTGTTTATCTTGTAAATTTAATTAGCAGATGAAGTTTATTTTTAGTTTTTTCGACGTGTCCCCAAACGCCTTTGACTGATTGCAGTTTCATTACACTTTAACATATGCCTTTTCAATATCATTTATTATTTTAAATCAATAAAAAAGTATATTAATGTTGGTAATCGGTATGGATTGATAACTGTTAATACTCTGCTTTTGTTTCTTATAGCTTTTTCCATTGAGAGGGTGGTAGAGACATTTATAAAATAATAATAATTTGCTTCTATACTCTCATTTACATGAAAAATTTAACGTTCTCACTTTGTTTCAAAAGACTATAGAAAGGGTTCCACCTTAGAGTTGGTTCACCTAAGACAATGTGTTTGCAAGAAGGAATGCTCACATCATATGCGGCGCACGCGCAACCAAGGACGGCCGTAACAAAATAACTTACAGCCACCCTTTTTATTAGCTTGGTGAATGCTCGAAAACACAAACTTAGTAATAAAAATAAGTATTTTTCTTTCGTTCTCAGATTTCAGTAGATAGGGTTGAACATAACAAATATATCCTATAAATAGAAGAAATAATTTCAGGCGAGATCCTTGTACAAATATAAACTCTAACTTTGAGAACATTTAAATTTCATAGGACTGATTTAATTCATTAGCTTCAAAATATAATGGAAGTGATTCATTTGTTGTTTAGGCTATTCAAGTTATTATGAAAAGTTTATAATGCATCGCTTATATTTTTGGTACCTACAATATTCTTATCAAAGGAGTTTATAAACAATGGTAACCTTGTCCACGTCGACAAGATAGTGTCAGATAAAAAAAGAAGCAATTATTCAATAAATTAAATTATTTATTTCTTATAACCACCATTATATAATTATTTTAATAATAAAATTGATATTTAATCGAAAAATAAACGAATTTATTTCATACCATTAAAATAATAATAATATTAAAACAATGAAAATTTTATTACTTCATGATTTTAAACTAGGTATAGGTGAGGTTTTATAGGTTAATCTGAGTGATAATCTAAGCCACTCGGTAGCGTGATGCATAATCTGAGATTGTCATTCTATTGTTTCACCTGTCGGAAGATTTCTTGCTGATTCCCCTTGGTATTTAATGTTCTAATAGCGATAATTTATTTACTTACTTTGTTTTATGGACATATTAAAATACATTTTTTTATAAATAAAATTACATAATACATGGAAACGATAATTTGTACGTCAATTACATTTATGTAGTATTACCATTAATCGTGTGATTATTCACCGTCTCAATTCATGTGGTTTTCTATGCTTTGATTTATTAAGGAAAATGTGCATACTGATTCATACGATTTAAGTAATTCACTAAATATATCGAGATGTATGGTTACGCGTGTCGAATTTACTTCACTTTTCAACTTGTATACATTAGATGGTACAAAAGTAACAGGTATTAAGGATCGAAAATTAAATAGGTACGGTGAAGTTGTTTTAGGTCACACTTCAGCTTAACAGATCGCTTCATTCATTTTCTATTAACAATCTTCGGCAAAGGTCCATATCCTATTGGATACGGCAGTCTGATTATGAGATGAATTTCCAGATGTACCTCGCACAATATGGTTATTTAAGTCCGTCTGTAAGAAATCCATCCAGTGGTCACATTATAGATGAGAGCTCCTATAAGAAAGCTATAGCAGAGTTTCAAAGCTTCGCTGGATTGAATACTACAGGTATGTTTTCAATTACATATATTTGCTAGTTAAAATGAGAGTCGTGTTAATATTAAGATTTTTTTATACCAATAATTCAATAATGGAGTTTTCTTATGTTTTTTTAGTGATGGGATAAGTGCATGCCTTTCAGGCCTCGGCCTCGAATCTCGCGGGTAGCGGGGCGGCAGCGGCGGCGGCACGAAAACGCATACATTTCTCCGTGCCCCCTCCCCTCTAGTTTGGAGAATAGTATGCGTTTCCGTGCCGCCGCCGCTGCCGCCCCGCTACCCGCGAGATTCGAGGCCGAGGCCTCAGTTTATCCAGTAGTGTTCAGTTTATAACTATAATGTATAATTTGTATGCGTGACGGTGCGTTCGTTGAATTGTATGTTTCACGTAATTGTTGTAATAGCAACCCATATCCGAGCCGTGACCTTGTTAATCAAACCTTGAACATACGAATTAAATAATCATTAATAAATAAAAATCCCTCTGCGTATTATGTCCTCTCATAGATTAATGATTGAAAAACGGTATTGAATGTATGCGAAAACCTATGAAGGTATATACCTATGTACGTCTTTGAGATTGAAGACGCCGAGTTGTACGAATTATATTCACAAATGTGCTTGTATACAAGAATCACTGTTATTGAAAAAGAACAGTTACTTATATTCTTTAATGCTGTCTTTTCTATTAGAAGTATGTAATTACTTCATACTTAACTTCAGTCATCTATTTTCGTCCTCGTAACAACAAATTATATTATTTGCATTGTCATGAGCGGTAAACATGACATTGATAATGTAATTACTAACTGCAATCACTGATGGTAGCCAACTGTACGAATACAATACTATTATGAGGAACGCACATGAATCTTTATATCGTACGTGATTTGACATCGAAACCAATTTATTTGTGTTCACATTCGCGTATATTATGTAACCAAAAAACGTAAAGTAAATAAATAATTCATTGGTGGTCAATGAGCCAGTTTTGTCAAACCGTACAGATTTATCTAATAAATAAACATTTTTTGGAATTCTTCCATTTAAACGCATCTCTAAAATATATTAATATTTATTGTTTGCTCTCTTAAAACGGCTGTAAAATAATAATAATCTAGAACGTAAATACTGTATAAAAGTCATTAGAAAGAAATATGAAATAAAAGCAATAATATCTCCTTTTTATATATTTTTCTTTTAAGACCGATTTATGGCCAACTTTTAATTACAATATTATATTAGATTTTATTGTTCCAAGTATTTTAAGTTTAAAATTTGATTTATCATCGTGACTGTAATTTTATACATAAAAGATTTATATCTGAATATAAAGCCCTATAGTCGCTGATAATTTGACCTATTTTTCTTTTTGAGGGGTGGAATAGTTACTTGGTATAAAGGTTTTCCCTGCCATTTTTGTAGATTAAAAATCTTTAAATAGGAACAGTGTGAAATAAAAGAAACTTTATAAACAAGCTACTTTAGAGATGGAATATTATATTTACAAATATGTTATTTTAGGTGAACTTGACGAAGAGACCAAAACTTTAATGTCACTGCCAAGGTGTGGAGTTAAAGATAAAGTAGGTTTCGGTGAAAGCCGGTCCAAGAGGTACGCCCTGCAAGGTAAGTTAACTCAAACAAGTTGCCGACCGTCAACTTTGGACCGTTGACTTTGTTGACTGTACATTAATGTCAATGATAAACCTATTAACAATATAATATTTCAACAAATAAGGTTCAAGATGGCGTGTAAAGAATTTGACGTACAAAATATCGAAGTACCCCTCCCGACTAAACCGTGATGAAGTTGATACCGAGCTGGCGAAAGCTTTTTCAGTGTGGTCCGATTACACCGACCTGACTTTTACACAAAAGAGATCCGGCCAAGTTCATATTGAAATTAGGTGAGAACCAAAGTATATTTTTATTATGTACGTTATGGCATTCGATTGTTAATAAAAAACCATCAATTTATTGATTATACTTTTTTGTGCTGTTGCTTTATTATGAGATTATGCATAATTGTGTTCCAAGGAAGTAGTTTATTGCTACCACAGCCACAGTTTTTACATGTTTTTATTTCATACAATGTCTCTATAATTGTCCGTAGTTTTGTATAACCTAAATGTTTGAATCTGTTGAATGGTTTCGTCACAATGGTGACCAGCTTCCCGTAACTAAACGAATCGTTGTCATTCGAATTACTATCGTAATGGTTTCGTGTCATGGCGTTTATATTTGTTATTTGAAACAGAATTGGATCTAATGGAAACAGCTACAAATAGTTGTGTTTTTTTAACTAATCTTTAGAATCTTTTAGTCACTTTTCATACTGACGGGAGGAATATTTATCTATCTATCGATATCGATACCTCAAATTCCTATGAGAATAATAGAATTGGGAAAGACAGTACAATAATACTTGGGATATTTTCAGGTTTGAAAAAGGCGAGCATGGTGACGGCGATCCTTTTGACGGTCCCGGTGGCACCCTCGCACACGCTTACTTCCCTGTGAGTAATTACGCCATTTCTGTGATTATTACCATGCCAGCCGTAACACAAACAAATTATTATAATAAAAATCGGATGTAACACTTCGTTAAAGAGAAAGTTTTGCGGATGCATGGTTATTAAAATTATTATTATTGTTAAGTGTTGTTCGAATTTCATCATTTATGTAACTGTTAAACAGGTTTACGGTGGTGATGCCCATTTCGATGACGCTGAGATGTGGTCTATAAATTCTCTGCGTGGGACCAATCTCTTCCAGGTAAAACTATTGTTCTCCTCCATATAATTTATATATTTCATAACCATTCCAAAGTGGTACTTTCGTTACTACTAACAAATTTTCATATAATCTATGTATTTTGTTGCAGGTCGCTGCTCATGAATTCGGTCACTCATTAGGGTTGTCACACAGCGATGTACGGACTGCCCTCATGGCCCCATTCTATCGCGGCTATAACAAAGCCTTCCAGTTAGACCAAGATGATATACAAGGAATCCAGGCTCTATATGGACACAAAACTCAGCTGGATGTCGGTGGATCCTTCCCAAGTCCATCAGCACCTCGTATCACCACCCCTCAGCCTTCTGCTGAAGACCCAGCGTTGTGTGCCGATCCTAATATCGATACCATTTTCAATTCCGCTGATGGCGCTACCTTCGTATTCAAAGGTGAGTTGGGTTCTAAATTTATGTTTAAACAAATATAAAGAATAAATATTGATGGTTTTATAAACGCTTCAAAATATTGTAACATAATTTGTGTTTCTTTTTCCAGGTGAACACTACTGGCGTCTAACGGAGAACGGTGTAGCAGCTGGATATCCTCGTCTGATCTCCAGATCATGGCCAGGTTTAACAGGTAACATCGATGCTGCATTCACATACAAGAATGGAAAAACGTATTTCTTCAAGGGTTCTAAGTACTGGAGGTATAATGGACAGAAGATGGACGGACAGTACCCGAAAGAAATTAGTGAAGGTGGGTTGACTTGAATCACAATATTTAATATATGTATTTTAAAATTAAAAGATAGATAACAAAGTATAAAAATGGCATCAAAATCCAGGTACACTTTATAATTATTTCTTTATCATGTTGCAGGATTCACTGGTATTCCTGATAACTTAGACGCAGCACTTGTTTGGTCCGGAAACGGTAAAATATATTTCTATAAGGGCTCCAAATTCTGGAGGTTCGACCCTGCTCAGCGCCCTCCCGTAAAATCAACGTACCCCAAACCTCTCTCGAATTGGGAAGGAATTCCGGATAATATAGACGCGGCTCTGCAATACACAAATGGTTACACGTACTTCTTCAAAGGTGGATCCTACTGGCGGTTTAATGACAGAACGTTCAGCGTGAGTAATGAATATTAATCTTTTAATCCTGACAGGAAATAATGCTATTTTTATTTCCTTTAATATAATATAATTTAATTGAGTTGAATATTTGAAATTATGTCAATCTTATGTTTGAGTTTTTGGGAATATACTCGATATCAAATATTTTACTTACAAAACTGTAATTTTATTCCTTTCAGGTGGACACAGATAACCCAGCGTTCCCAAGGTCAACAGGCTATTGGTGGCTCGGCTGCAGTAGTGCACCAAAAGGCACAGTTGGAGGTAACGCCAAATACGTCCACCACGATCACGATGACGATGATGAAGTGGGGGACATCACTTTCGATGCAGGTAGGTTCTGGCGCCTGGGAACTCTTGAGTCAAAACTTGGTCTGATTTAATTTGCTATTAGATTTCTCCTCAAGACTTAGGTTATAAGAAATAAAATGAAATCGTAACCTATCTTTAATAATTATTTTTGAAAATCCTGTTTCCATATAATTTATGAAATTGTTTTAACTTTTTTTTACTTTTTAGACCAAGAGTTACCCTTCATTACTTTAGGAAAGACATCCGTCCTCCACTCTTTGTAATGTCTGGAACAGCTTTTCTATTTATTATTTCTCGTAATGATTGTCTCTTCTGGAATGTCTATGTTTTGTAATAGATTTGTGTTAAAATACTGTATTAGATTAGATCGACTAAATGTTATCTACCTTTTAATCGATTTCTAAAGAGATTGACTGTTTAATACTTCTAGTATTCCTTTCTGCGTTGTGTTTTGTTTATATTTATTTTGTGATTACTTACAAATACTAATTATAGCTTTAATTTCTTCTAATAATTGTCATTGCTAACCTAACTTCTAACTTAACCGATATACTCGTATCTTAATAATATTAAATGCATTTTCGTCATGCAACTAACATATTATATAATACTAATGCCACAACTGACTTAACAATAAACCTTTTTTTTTAACTTTAAATAATAATTCTAATCAAAATAATGCTTTAATATCCTAAAAGCTTTAAGCGTTGCTTAATGCAGTGGTCGACGGTGGATGGATTCCAAGAAGAGCTTCTGGGCGCCCAGAACCTACATGTAACGTATTGAAGATCTGTGGCTCTATACAGAAAAGACGTTTGAAAAATGATGTCCACACAGTATAGCCACTTGTCTTCAATACTACAACACAAGACACAGATAGTAATTGACAAAAGCAATCACGCAAAGTAATAATCACAACAAGCACAGTTTTAAACACATTAAATTATAAAGTAAACGTGTCAGAAACAAGAAATTTATTGTTATTAATGTGATGAGGCTAATTCAAGAGTAAAATGTAAAAGAATAACCATTTCTAACAAAACCTCACTTGTTTTGATGACATTGTTGACACCGTAAATTAGAATAGCACTTAAATGTTATCACCAAGTCACGCAAAGTTAAACCATGGTGGTAGTCATACGAAGTGTGTGTTTTGTGTTTGTCTTCTAGGTGTAAAATCATCCGCTCCCAGATCCTTCTTCTGGTTCAGGAAATAGCCTCGGAGAGTTCCTGAACATTTGTACATATCAAAAGTAAAATAAAGAACAAAGACTAAATTAGTTAAATAGGAGAATATGAATACCAGTGAGATTATATAAGCGGTGATTTTAATACCGGCGAGCTTCTCACGCGTTGTTGTACGTTTTGTTTTATATCACGTTTGCATGCTAGTTTTTTTTATATTTTGCTTTCCGCTTGGCCTTGATATCAGCTTTGGCTTTGCGTTGGTGCACGCTGGGTACAGGTTTACTAATGAAACTCATTCGAGTTCTCGGAAGCGGTATGCTTAGATGATTTTCCTTGTTTTTGTGATCGGTTTCACAACTTCAGAGTTAAAAACAAATTTAATTAACGTATTCTCTTGTCGTATAATTTTGAAGGAGTGAAACATATTAAGATCTAAAATAATTACCGTTATTAACCATTTATTGGGTTATTAGTAGTTTTTGTAAAATATAATAAAGGTTAAGATTTTTTAGTTTTTAGCATAGAATAACATTTAGTTACTAAAAGTAGCTTAAAGAGGAGATGTAGTAAAAAATGATAAACAGAATTTAAGAGAGTTAGAATACAAGATATGAAATATTAACATTTTAGATACTTCGAAGCCATTACTTCGTGTGTTCGTCATAAAAATATAAATACCTTCAACATCGTAACAGTAAAATTAACGTCGAGGAACCATCGTAAGATGTTTTATGATGTTCAAAATTGCACAGCGTTTTTATCACGATGCAAATATTTTATCAAACTAATTAATACGAGTGATGTTGAATTGTTTTTACATTAATTACGTTTGCAGAATAGTTATATATTATTTATATGTTTGTGTAACTAACATTTTGAGGTGTTTGTACATCATGTACATACATCTCTTAGAATTATCATAGTCTAACGTGAATTTGGTCGTAGTGCAAATAAAATGTATATTTGCATAGTAATTGATAGAAATCGGTTTACAAAGTATGCAATGTTTGTAGATAGAATGCATGACACTGTACAAATATGTAGTAGTTGCACAGGGGATTCGGTGAAATATAGTAAAGAATTCTTGCTAAAGGCAAGTTAATTTTTCAGTGATCAACGTACAGTCAGGCGGAGCTAGACTCTAGTATTGACTCGGGACTCATATAAGGAGGGCATGAACGTCCTCCGCCGCGTCACCACTCACCCGCATCGTAGGTTATCTTTCATTTGTTACGCTTAACCGCGAAATCCTTGACTCGGAAGGATAGCGCGGCAACTAATGTGCATTACCATCATCACACCATTGTGTTCTTACTAGTTTGTCGCATGAAGTGCACTGCACATGATGATCATATATACGTATTGGTGTTTAAACAATGGACCTGGTACTTTACAGATGCCGGGGGCTCTGAGGCACGAGGGGGCGGCGCAGGCAGCGGGGCGTTTAACGTTAAATCGTCCGTATTGACGTTGCTGCTAGCGAGCTCACTGCTGTTCCTATCGTCTCTGGCGTAACGTGACCGTCTCCACTGTGATCGTGTTGTGTGCATGTCGCGTTCGGTATATTGTGTATAGTGAACGCTCTGTTGTGAATGCGTCCTTTTATACTGATGCGTGAACAATAATTTAATCGGAAGTCATAGTTTTTATACTTAATATAAATAGATGATGTAAGTTCGAGTGTGATATTGAACTAAGCGACAATTTTGGTATTAAAATATTTAATGACATATATCTATGCGTTTCATTTGTTTTTCATTTTAAATATATTGGGATAAAGGATATAAAATAAGAGACGTGATCGTATTTTAATCGGTTTATTTAACGTCTTTCAGGTTCTCCAATAATTCCTCTTAAGTTATTAATTACAGGTTTATATGACAATATTTTTGGCTTTTATTTTCATTTTCGTAAACGTATTTTTTTATAATAAACATCTCCACAATTTATCATAACACGGTCGTGTGACCTACTGTCTCAATCGTTCTAACTCTTAGGAAAATGCAAATAATATTAAACGTCGAAATCTGTCTACCATAATAATAATTATTCGAACAATATTAATGTTAGTTCGTGTGTTGTACGTCGACTAGACGAGCGGAGCCGGGCTCCTCGGCTCGTGTCTTAGAAGGCGTAACATAAGACTTATTACACAATCACTACTCGAGAAATACCTACGACACATCCTAGATCATATTAATATATCGAGGACTGCATGAAGTGGCAGTGTTAGCTGACGTCGGCTTCATCCAGATGCCTTCGCCTAATTTGCTTACTGTTGTAATTAGGAGATTAAATACTACACTACCTCTCTCACTATTATCCAGGCAATTTTAAAGTTAACCTTAAAAGGTACGAAGATTAAAGGTTAGTAAAAATTGCCCCTTGGACTTTATAGATATAATTTGTTCTTACTTATGAAATAGAAACACGATGCAACGGAAGATACTAAATACATTACAAATAAATCAAAAAAAGATGACGCATATATGTATAAATATATATTTATATGATCTAGAACTTATAAGTAATTATTAATTAATAAAAGTGAAGGTACTGTTTCGTTACGGAGTACATAAATTAATTAGCTTTGGTGCTGACGATAAGTGGAAATTAAGATAAATAATAAAAAGGAAACAACTTAATATTTATTGAAAGGATTTTTGCAGAAAGTCAAACAAAAAATAAACAATCTATGTTATGAGTATAAGCAAGTAACAAGCGTTAAAATCTCTATTCATTCAACATTTCAACATATACCTCTCTGTTTGATAATCACTTCCCATCCGATGTCTTATTATTCCGTTACTCCTTATCCTTCTATATCAAAATTGAACGCAAATAATATATTTTTAAATATATAATAATATACAGCGCTAATACAAAACCTCAACGGCTTACAGATACTGGTTTTACTTTACATTATACTGTTTCGTTCGCGTAAAAATTATTATGAAAAATAATTAGAACTCTTAATTTATATATTTATCATAAGATTTTTAATGTTCACGTAATATTACTATCACCTCCATATAAATATTGATCCATTACAATGCTAAGCTATCTATTGTAAACGAATAAATGAGGACCATGTAAAGGAAAAAAGAAACTACCCTACATTAGTGGTATTAGAAGATTGAACTTAGGAATTTGAAAATGGTATTATATGATTTTTTCTGTAGAGTTGACGAAGTTCGTAAGATTCAAAACAAAAAAAAAACAAATGGTATATACTGTGACATACTGGTTGTTATTATTCTTTACGCTTCGATTTCCTCTCAAATATTAAAAATAGAATACTTTAAATAGGGATGTATTCAGGTAACACAAATATTACTCATTTGTATTGGATCAAAAATAAAAAACAAAACCTTGTTACGTGAAAAAAATACAAATATATCAAGATCGTCTTGGAAAGAGAAAAGTATCAAAATTAATGGAAAAATAAAATCTCTATTGAACTATAAAAGGATTAATGACTAAAAGCATTTAATCAAGAATAGTGAAAAACCATTAAATTAAATTATGAGAGGAATATGGCCTGAGAATTCTTCTTTTTCTTAAATAATCTGGAAAGTAATTTTAAATAAAGTTATGAGGTAAAAAAGTGGTATAGTTAGCCTAATCAATCCGAGTTGGCTCGTAATTTTTCCAAAATGGCTGTCTGAACGACATGTGCTTATGAATTAAAACTGACTAACATTAAAAAAAATTCACGATACAAGTGAGAATAAAAAAAGTTTAAAAAATTAACCATACAAAAATTATTCCAATCTGACATCCCGATATAAATTTCGTTGCTTTCATAAAATGTCTAAACAATTTCTCATTAATTACACAATCGCCAACGTTGGTTGTAAATGTCACGTGTAAAATAATACCATCAAAATTTTGTAAAATATAAATGATACCAATAATATGAATAATCGTGCTTGTGAATTAACTGTTTTGTATAAAATATATTTTCAACATCAACATGACCGTCACTCGATCAAGACTATTTGTACTCATATCTATTTTATATTGTATGTAAAAGGCTATAATTTGGTGTTTTCCTTGCTTAATATTAACTGAACGAGACGTTGTGCCTATGGTACTTTGAATTTATCTTTATTTATTGGAGACATAACAGAGCCCTGAAGCGTTATGTTGACTTTGTGCGTGTGAAACAGACAACAGTGTCATCGTGTAAATCTAACATGTGTCTCAACTTACAATATAACTAATTAATTCCGTCGATACCGAATTCAATAATTTACATTGAGGTGGATTTCGTGACGAAGTGCTGCCAAAAGAAAAACATCGCATCTCATACACATATGATAATAATCTACCAAAATTCGAATTCGCGCTAAAAGAAACAAGAACAGCGTGGCAGCAGTTTCACGAAAAACCTATTTTATAATCCTAATATTTAACTTTCAGTTACAGTTTATAGCTAAATACATAATAATAATCATAGTAAAATGTTTTATTTTGTGCGTTAAACATTTACACTTTATTATGTACATCAAAACATACGTATATTATTCAAAAACATAATGTACACGCTATCATCAAACTCTCAACGTAATATCAAATACACCCATTATACTAAACCTACTAAGAAGAGCACGTGTCCCAGCCATCATCGCAGCCTTGTCTGAAACATCCGACCGGCCAGACTTATCCGACACAATGAACTGATCCAAATCACCAGACTTATCTGACTAATAGAATCCGCCCAATTAGTCGGACTCGTCTGACTAGCCAGACTTTACCAACTCGTCCGATTCTACCAAGTCAAACACCTTGCCAGAACTATCTCGTGTCAAACGATCCGTGGATGTGACATCTACATGATTAATCCGTTAATCGCTACGAATTATTGCTAACTTTTGTGTCCCTACAAAATCAACAAGAAATTGAATAGCTGGTCTCAATAATAAACTTTAATTAGCGTATTTAAATTTTAGTATCCTATGTCTAGTATCTACGAGCAGATACAGTTGACAGAATTTTAACTCGACATACCAAAAGGTTTAAGTTAACGGAGGATGTTACACTAGTCACGTGTTTTTGTTTCAACATTATACAAACCGATTTTCCATTGGTCTTTATTAATCTACTCTAAAATAGAATAGTGGCCAAGTGAAGATTAATAGGAGTGATAGAAGAAGTACCAAAAAAGAAGGAATGTACGGTCAGTGTGTGAGTTTTAACGAGTGCTCAAAAATTGTTTCAATTAATTATGTTCTAATAATTCATTGTCTAATTCTAAATTTCGATAACTCTACATACATAGTAAGATATTGTGAAAGACCTTTTTAACGGAGGAGATACGAGATGCGTCATGACTTGATTTTTTTCTAGAATTTTCAAACAAGAGTGGCACAATTCAATTCTATAATTTGCTTCTAATTTTATGACCATGTCCTTCAGATACTATTATGGTAGGGCAGGGACAAAACCTATTATTTTAAATCTTTCGGCATAAGAAACTCCTTTGGCAATAATTACTCTTTGTTGAAAAATTGCATCTAATTACCGCGAATTTTTACACGTTACTAAAAAACTAAAACCTGTTTAAAATAGTGGAAACGTTGATATTAATTCCTTTACTTTTCTCTTTAGTATACGATTACAAATAAATATAATCATTTCATTCAAATCCTGTTTCATCACGCCTGCACCCAAAATTAGTTCAAAATATAATTATAAAAGAAAAAAAAATGTGATTGACCATGAAAAAAAACTTAAAAGATATAAACAATAATTTGTAGGATCGGATGGAACAGTGCCAGCGAACATTTGAGTCTTTAAAATGATTCATCAAATGATTATTTTACTTTCGAATTAGATACTCGATTGAAACAATACGACCCACTATCCTGTCATACTAAAACCGGATAAGAGTAGAAGTTACATTCAAAATGTTATTAAAATATTTGCTTTTGGTATGCTAGTGTACAGTGTTGTAAGTGATATGGCTTTAGCTCAAGGTCCAGGGGCTTCAAATGGATGCGGGATTGTTTAATTTGTTCAGTCCGATTGTGATTCTGACACCCATCATCAGACAGATAGACAAATGTTAACGTTATAGGTGAAGTAGTGAAAAAGAAAATAAATCCCTAAGAAGCGTTAATAGACATTTAGCACCCTTGGTGGCTTTCATTTAAGTACGGGAGTGGAAACAACAAACCGTTTTTGATATATTTACACAATAAAAACGTGAAAAATAACTTATTTAATATTATTATCTTTCGAATACAACAACTACATCCCCGAACGAGGATAATATTCTCAACAAATGTCCATTCAATAAAGTCTTAATAACCATTAATTTTTAATCATTTTCTCCATCACAAAATCTTCAACGACACCACTATAATTTTAATACTTTTAAAAAATAAGACAAAATAACAAACACTGTTAACTATATAATAATGACGAGGACGGGGACCTCACCCGCTCCGTGGCAGCCCAGCCGTCATGTATACAATTATATATATTAGATAATTCATATAAAAAACTTTTTCAACCATGTTTACAGATGTAATTGGTATATCAGATAAGTTCATAAGACGGATATATTATTACATATACTGTTGTTCTTATGCCATATTTTCTTACGAAACAACAACTACTTTTAATTAATTAATCCTAATACAAGACCTAGCCCATAAGATGTATACAATGTAGACCAAAATTAGGCATACACAGGCACGTGACCGCCCTGGCGAGGTTGTCATGCTTTTATATAAAGTTAATAAGACAACGCGTGTATATGATTCAGAATTTCAGAAAAGTATGCACACGTTGGCATATTAATTTGATCTTATATATATGTCAAACAATTATTTTTGTTTTAATTATTACTATTAATGGATTTTGAATATGTTTTGCTGGGTATTAACATCTGATTTGCCCTTCTTAAAATGGTTTCGTTTTTTAACCTTCTTCTTTTAAAGTAAAACCTCGTCACGACGCTCTCGCCTTTACCAACGATTCGCTAAAACTTAACACTACAAATGAACTATTGTCACTATGGTCTAAAGATCGCTTGCATTTCGTTTATTTAACATTAGATGAATATTACTTTATATAAGATGGATTTTTTAAATGAGTTTAGAGACATCGTTAGTTATACCTAGAGCGTAAAGTGATTCTCATGAAATATATCTCATTGCACTCATAATAAAGAAAATGTTTTTTTTTCATCAATAAGTTATCAAATTCACTAGCTCTAGGTATTACTCAAGTTACGATATTTATTGTACTAAAAACCACATATTATGACAGTTTTTGTGTTGCCTGACACGATTAAGTAACGTCTATTTAAAAAAATGCCATATAAAAAACATACTGCAGTGATGTAAAAAATATAATTCGTTATTCGCCATATTACGTGCTTTTAAACAATATGAACACTGAACATTATATTTAAATAATTCAAACATCTCACTTAACACAATGCAATATTCGTTTACAATTCGTGTCGAAACATTAATTTAGTGGCCGGAAGGTCGGCCGTCGTTAGCTTTAAGTCATAACGCATAAGTAACGTTTACAGAATATTTGGTGTTTCATCGATAAAGGTGTACCAAACAAACGGACACAGACAAACTTACAGACTACAGATGGCTGACTCGCGGCGACGGCTCGGCGGCGGCGCTGGGGCCCGTCACCGCGAGTCGCTGACGTCATTGAACCCGTCGCTCATAATTTATTATCATAAGTACTGCACTAATACAAGTTTCGATCATAGTCTTCCGATCGCGGGACGCGGGAGTGCGACGCACGTTAACGTAAAACTATAACCTCGAATCGCGCACATTCACTAGAGGTATGGATGTCCAGTGAGTCCGTATGAAAATGACGGCCATGGTGGCTAGGAGGAGCAGGGGGTGCGGTGTGGTGGGGGCTGCGGAGGCCGGCGCCTGGTACGGCACTGAACATGTGGCCGTGCGTTCTTCGACGGGCGCGCATCTCTCGGCCTCGGGCCGTGGTGGTTCACTGAGCCTCGCCTCGCAGCGATAGCAGAGTCTTCCCTCGCAGTACCAGTAGCAGCAATCATCTGACCCATAGTTTGATTTGTTGGCTTGCGCGCCCGTTTCAGGTATTCGAGGATCTGAAAGTTATGGGGCTCTTACTTAACAAGGACAATATATATGAATCAGTAATTACGAAATAGTTTAAGAGATTACATTTAGAAGTGATTAACCTAAGAAACATTTTAACTGAAAAGCCAACAGGTAAAAAAATTGGTCAGAGCGATGTGTAACGTGTAAGAGGAACAAAAGCGGTTGTAGCTTGCGGAGCATTTGTCGAGATTTCTAGTTTTGAACGGAGGCCAAACGTCGGCTAATCGAGCATAATATACCCTCAGATTCATCTTCAACGTGCGAGTTCATTTTTTTTGACAACAAAGAAGACAATTCTTCCCGTTTTATTTTGTTTGAATCCGTTTAAGATATACCCAACAAAACTTTCTATAAAAGTAATTACCTAAATTAATATTAAAATATGTAGATAATATATTATTAAAATTTCTGTAAAATCATATTTCTGTATAACTAGATTAACATTCTTTAAGCAATTGTTTTTGCTGCAAAAAATTATAAAAGAAAATAAGTAAATACAAATTTAATCCTTCGATGTCCTATACAGAAATTTTATCTTTCAGGGTTGCCCATCAGAGTTATTAATACCCCATACCATTACAAAATAGCAGACAAATTAATGTCCATTACCGAGGCATAGAAAGGTTGGTTCGCCAGCGTATTGCGTCGGATAAGCTGGCGCTCGGTCCGCCGGCAGGAAGTAAGGGCAGTGCTGCTCCACAAGCTGGCAAACGGAGAGGCAGGGCTTCAGCCTCAGCGGCCGACCGGGCCCGGCGGCGGCGGCTCGAACCCAGCGGCCCACCACGCCGCCGGTCCGCCGTCGATCCAGGTAACCCGCCACGCCGGTCCGTCGCCGGTCCAAGTGCCCCACGCGCTCCAAGTGCCTGGCGTGCCACCGCGCCGCGTGCTCGGGCGCCCGTCTTGATCTTCCACCTCCCTCCTCCTCCTCCGAACCCTCTTCAACCCACAGCGGCACCATCGTGCTGCATGCCCACCGTCTGTACGTCTCCTGCAATATAATTGGATTATTTATTTTATGCATTCCTGTACATATAGTTTAGATTATAATAATTGTCTTACTGTTGTATATAAATTCAAATTTACAGTTACTGTAGGTTTTGTTTGTTATATACTTTATTAACCTGTACTAAGCTACCTAATTGTTCATGATAACTTTACGGTTTGAATATGGTTCTAAATGTAAAAACTTGCGGGGTTTTTAAATTCACTGTATTAAATTATACTCTACACAGTACAAAGGTTATATTTTAACCATATCACATGATAAAAATTATACTATATAGGTATGTATAATTTCAGTTTTGCAAATTTCCAGTATAATAAATGATCATAATGCATTTAATATTATTTAATTTCAGAAATATTATAAATCTTTACATTTTAGGTGAAGTTAAATGTCAAATATTTACAAAAACTTTAGTAAATGTTTGTGAAACTGTCCAAAAAGGATAACTTGTACCAAAAATATAAGACGATAAGACGAAACGTTCCTGAACGAATATTTATGCAATTATTTTAGTAAGTAACATTCTACCAATTTTCTTTTTAATAACTCTCTCTATTATCTTACGTATCATTTAATTCAGAACAATTAATGACATAATATGTACATATGTTTTTTGTGTTATTCATTTCTGGTATTCACTCTCATAATTTTTATTTTATATCGTAATTGTTGGATATCTTTTTAATTCTTCTATAAATTAATAGATTTCTCCATTGTCTGTAGTTTATTAATCACTGAGTATCGACAAGCCACAAGACAGGGGAGTTGTTTATCATCAATTTAATATATAGGTATACCTTGTTCGACACGTCTAAACAGTGTTAGGGGGAAAACAGACAAGTTAAAGGTGACATTTAAGGTATATTTAGATTGTTACAAAAATTTAATTAAAATATGTAGGTATACATCTTCCGGTATCTTTTTTAATGTTTAAAAAAAACACCTAATATTAACTGTACTAACACTAACGATATGATAAAAATTATTTTTAATGGCATACATTTCATTTGTAACGAAGTTATTGTATAAAAAATATACTAGTTTAGAAACATTTAATATGTCAACCCTATTCATATTTAGAACACGTTATTAGTCAAATTTCAATAGACAAGATTTCAATATAACCTCATTAGATCCACGTGCAATATCTGGCAGCTAGATACGAGATACCAGAACCTATTTAACCCTTTAATGAAGCAGCGAGGACGTAGATATAATGTTATATAAATGACAGCAGTACATGAGTTATTTCAATTAACACCCTTCTATTACCGTAATAGCCAATACAACGTCCCTTTTATGACCATTCCTTTATCTTATGGCCCATTGACACGTGCTCGTTGTAATTATGTCCGCAAACAATTATGTCATGTGAACTAGACGTTAAAAATATTTTATTAATATAATATTGGAAATTGTTCTCCATGGATTCCCTTTTGTCGTTTCTGTTTACACATAATTTCTTATACAAACGCGGTATTCCAGAATTTTACAAGCGTATTCTAAACTTCAGTGTAAGCTTAAATGGTAGCTTGGAGATAAATTGTATAAACAATAGCTTGCTTGCCTGAAGCATTTAATTTTTTTTTCACAGTAAGGTCAAGCCGCTTCAGATTGAGACTATTGTTCCATAAAGTTGTGAAATAAAAGAGTAGTTATTTAAGATTACTTTTGTGAACTGTTTCATTTCTGCTATTTTTAAACGTGTTTTTATTCTAATTTTAAAAAACCTGGTAATTATTGTTGTATACCTGTTTTGTCTTATTTTTTTCTAAAATGTTCGTGTAAGAAAAATTTAAATCAAAACCAAGGTAATATTTATTCTTTACCATTTTTTTAAGACCAGCTTTTTCATCTATCCGAAGCCTGCCTTTTGTGCTATTGTGATATTATGCACAGTAATAATTACTGTATGCGGGAATATTTTGAGTGTTGGTATAAGTGTGTAAGGGGCCTAACGAATCAGAACAAATGAACATCGCATCAAACATTGTCTCGGCGGGTGTGGGATACTAATCAATCATAGGATGATTCGTTCAATATATGTATGTGTGCTCTTTCTAACTTACATGTGTGCAATCTATCACAGTATATTGCTACCCCTATCTATGTGTTTGTAATCTTAACACAAACCAATCACAACTTAATAGTTTTGCGGCTAATGGATTCCCATTACTAGGGGTTTTCTTAGTGATATCTTTATTTGACATTGTTCGAAAAGCACGCTTACATTAGTAAAGTATATATCCATATATGTAATATTTAGTTGAATCTTTAACATAAAACAAATTAAGTTTAAAAAATTTCGAATGGTTAAACGTTTTAAATTTAAAATCTTTATAAGTATGTTGTAATGTAGAATGCTTTGAGTACGTTTAAACAATATTTAGTATTTGATTTCGTGTATATAATGATTCGTTTCAATTTTCCGAACTCATAAAATATAACACAGACTCTTTGTTTCGCTTTTAAAGCAAAATGATTTAAACAAATTCGTCTGACTTTTTTATGATCTTTATAATCTCTAGCAATATTATATAATTTAAGGGCAGAAGTGTGATATTGTAAGAAATAAATGAAGCTAATTTTTCGAAAGCGAATGTAAGTGCAAAAGAACAGCTTATAATTTAAGAAAATATTCTAAAAGATTGCAAACTAGTACATATTTAATAAAGTATCCAGCTATTCATCAGTCTAAAACGGCAGCGAGTGAGCATCGCCGATTGCTTTGCGTAATGAGAGATTTCCCGCATTATTATCGACGCCACAGGCAAATATGTTCATGAACGATGTCATAATGTGGGAACAATTTGCGGTTCGCCGTCGACTTCGCTGGGTTTTCTTCTTAACAAACCTATAATTATTCTTACAAAATAAAAAATAACATTAGGTATATCAATATAAAACCTTAAAATAAAATGCCATTCAAATGGTATGGAAGAAAATAAAACAAACAACAAATCTTTTCCGTCGTTTGAGATCTAGCTCTTCATAATTGTACAAGTGCGCAAGGGACAATAGGAAACGTTTGCCAAAAACATTCAGTGCTATAATAGTGAAAGTCGTACGAAATAATACAGGTAAAATGAAAAACTGTCAAGTATGGGCTACAATCATTACATAGGTACTTTTTATTCGTCAATACAAGTCAATATAAGAGATAATAAGCAATTCACGAACAATAAACAGATGGGTACCTCAATTAAAAAACGCTACACAAATTACAATACGCACTTGATAAAACTGCTAATTGCTGCTTGCATCGATGCAAGGAATCAAGTCGGTCGTTCCATTGACCTCGTGGTCTAGATTCGTCTATTACCTTAATATACGTAGAATTGTAAATTATTTTTGAAGTCCATTCAAACAGTTTTAATTATTTGTGCTATGAACAATTTATTATAAGATACTAAGCTTCACCAGTTTTTGTAAACATTAAATTGTAATATATTTGTAGGGGAAAATCTTATTACTATAAATATGCTATTAGCATTTAAGCCATAAGTTTGTAAAGTAAAAAAAAAATACACATAAAAGTTTGAGTTTAAACAAACAATTAAAGCCTCTATATGGGCCGCAAAGCCACATTTAAATTTAATTTATTTAAATTTGAGTTTTAGTATATTCGGAGATGTTTTTTGTCAAAAAAATTCACGTTAGCTTAATATGCTCTCAACATAGTTCATTGCATTCAGTCCTCTACTACACTGGTCAGATCCAATATATTCCCAGCGTTGTAATTGGCTTCGAAATAAAAATTTCATACTGCACTGAAGTGGTTTGTAATAGTTTTGTTTTTAACTCAATCCTATTGACTGAGACGTCCGCAAAAAAATAACACCCAATATAAAGTAGACAACCATGCCACTGAAGCTGTGAAAACATTTTAACTTGTTTAAATAAGCCTTAGACTGACTCTGAGTACTTATAAACAAAACATCACCTTTCTCTCCGGCTTCCCAGCCGCAGTCAGAAAAACAATAAATAACAAAAAGAAACCCATATATGGTATAAGAATATACGTCTTCCCCCAATTATTCTTTGTCAACGACACGCAACGCAATTATTAAGGCAACTGTAATTCAAATTTTTAATATCCAAAAAACTAATTAAAATACTTAACAAAATGACTTATGTGAAAAACTATCTGTCATATATGTATGATGGATGAGGGATGAAAGAAAACGCGTCGTCATGGGCATGACTAACCCACACAATATTATATTAGAAGCTAGCCCTTGCTTTGGAAGAAGTATGATTAATATGCTACTATGAAAGTTTATAAGTTACTCAGATAATGAAGTGGAATGTATATTGAAATAACGTATTTTATATTAATAATATTATTTTTTTTTATAAAAAAACGCCACTAATAACCGCGTTTGATAGAAGCTTATCCAGTAAGTTATGACTAAATAAGGAAAAATATATTTGTATTTCACTAATGTATTGTAAATTTTAGTGATTGGGACGTATCTTATATAGAATTCAATGAAGAACAAAATATTTTGCCACAATGAAAAAATATTTAGTATTTTAATATACCAATTTATTAATTATATAGGATTTGATTGGAACCATAAACTTCTAGAAGAAATATTTTTGGATGAAAAGTTAAAAAAATAAAAGTCTCAAAAAATCCGGAATATGAAACATTATATCCAATTAACAAATTCACTTAACCATTTTTCAAAATTTAAAAACATTTCCTTATCCAAGTAAGACAGTCTGACCACAATTCATTTATTGAATAAACGGCATTTAAATTATAATTTGGATATTATTTTTTTTTGCTTTAAAGTATTTATTAAATAAAAACATATAATATACAAAAATTATAGAATATGTTTTTTTTTAACTTTTCTTCAAACCTAACACATTCTTTTGTAAACAGGATCACACCATACTTCCGAATGATTAATAAGTTTTTGTTGAAAGTCGCTTTCGGGTCATCTATTTGAAAATCTCTACTGTGTTTAACT